CACCATTGGTATAAGACTCATCAGGGGACCTGCTTAACCTCAGGCTTCACCGAGGGCATCAAATTTGGAACAGCTAGCAGCTGTGCCCTGGCACTGGTGTTTCAAGAATATCCCAAAGTGATTCTGGTGGACCAAAGGGGACACAGCCCCAGAGCCTAATCTCTCCAAATGGGGTATAGGCCTATCTCCCAGAATCAGCAGGGGTACGATAATTTTGAGAAGCCCTGCTGATGGGATTATTTGGAAATATGAAACAGAAACACTTCTAGTGTCCCATCCCTTGCCAAATGAGACTATCAGACTGAAGAGAACTAATAGGAGACTGTGAAAAACTGGCTTCTTTAGTGCCTGTGTAATAATCAACTGAGTAAAGAAGCCTCTCTAGGGCAAGCCTAATAATAATGATAATTACAGCACTTAGTTAAACATTCGTTGAGCAGTTACTAAGGGCCAGGCATTGATCTATGAACTCTGTTGTAAGAAGTCACGTAATCCCCACAACGCCCTATTTTATTATAAGTTGGTGCTTTTACTCTCACCCACTTTTTACAGAGGAAGAAACAGAAATATAGAAAGATTAATGGTAGGTGGTAGAGGTGGAATTCAAACCCCAGCAGTCTGGCTCCAGAGCTATGCCCTTAAGTATTCTAGGGAACAGCCTCTCAAAGGATGACTTTCTGTCCTTACCACTGTATTGTGGGTGCTTCTCCAGCAGGATTAAGCAAGGGAGTGACACAAACCAATAATGTCTTCAGAGGGAGGGATGGTAGAACAAGGGGGACACTGAGCTCAGTATATATACTACTGATTCAAGGACAGAGCCATATATCAAGTGTGACCAGGGCCAGCCAGCTGTAACCTACATGAGCCCTCCCACCCCTCTGCCTTGCTCTGCTCGCCTCCCACCCCTGTCCAAAATGCAAATGCCACTCTGTCCAGCAGCCATTCAGCCTCTGGTTCTAACACGAATCCCAATACTTCTAGTTTACATGATTATCCTCATAAATCTTGCTTTAAGAATTATAAAGTTCTTCTATAAAACTTCAGCACATTTCTATGTATGAAAGCTTGATCCATTAATTATCTGGCCCTCTCCTGCCCACAATTTCTATTCTATTTCTCAAAGCATGGTCTGATCAGAATTGCTAAAACAGCCTATTAAAAATGTGGATTCCTAGCACTTATCCCAAACCACAGAATCAAAACCTTTGAAGATGGGGACTGAGAATCCATACTTTTAATACCCTCCCTTAGTGATTCTTATGCACACCAAAGTTTGAGTAGTGTTATTGTTGGTTCTTGGAAAATCTAGCTATAGCAATAGTGTTATAATGTATTCTACTTCAAGCACAAGTAAAATCTTTCCTTCTCTTTATAATGAGCTTTCTCTAAAGCAAACCCTCTTTATCATCAGAAATGAAACCTCTCTATCTGGAGAATAATGATCTCAGCCAGGCTTTTAAACATTTTAGAATCCACCTCAGTTTTCTAAAGTTTCTACTACTCCAATGTATCCCAAGTGTGGCCCCATATCACTAACGATGTTAAGAAGCACCTAGGACAAAACTCTTTTCATTTTAGAGCCATGTGTATTTTAATGTGAACAAAGAAAAATTATAATTGTAATATGCAAACTTAAGGCTGAAAAGACTAAGTGGAAAATAAAAGAATCAATTTTCAAAAATATTAAGTAAATAATAGCACAGGCGATACTCAAATAATAGTCTTAAATTGGGGAAACCTTGTCCTGTCTGCTTTTTTCTAACGGGTACCCGCAGTTTCAGCCCTGCATGTCTGTTCTTCCTCTCTGACCATAGGCATTCTCTGCCTTTATTCCAACGGTGTCTGTGCCTGGAACACTGTCTCCTCTTTTAGATATCTCTTTAAATGTCACCTACCATTTCATGCCCAGTTCCTGCCTCCTTCCAGGAACCCTCTGGATTCTTCCAGCTCTCTCAGCACATTCCCTTTATGAACTCTGGTAATATACTTATGGTACCACTCATTTGGAACCTAATTGCTACTTAAGTGTTTATATGTATATACTTAGCATCATTTCCCTGTGAAATGGAAGCCCCTTGAGAGTATCCTATGGCCTCTTTTACCACTGTATTACCTACAGTGTAAATTTCCCTGGTTGGATCTGAGCACAAAACAGGAATTCCACGAATATGTGA